GACTCATGCTTTTTTATTAGTGATCCGAAGGGAATAGTGGTCTTTGAAACTGAATGAATGGTTCAATGAGCAATCGTCCGTGACGAAAACTGTGAAGAGACGCAGTGGTTTCATTTCTGTTGTGAAGCTATCTGTTTCCAGTGAAACAAAATACGCCCAAAACACGGCGTAATAGGAGCGTCACTGAGGTTGAAAGTTACACATTGCGCTGAGGTTACACTGGTTACATAAAAGTGCTGAATTTCAGAGCAGGCCTCGACTGGTAGACCCGTTTCGCGATCATGGCTCAAAACGGAGCGAAGTTTCATTTTTTTCTCATTTATTGTTTTTTGGCCACGCAACGCAGAGCCGTGTCGTATGATCACCCATCTCCGCCATATGCAGAGATTCGGGTCCTCAAAGTAAGTGAACGAATCCTTCAAGCAATGCTTTGATGTAGTTTCCATAAGTCATGGCAAACTAAGTCCACTGTAGCTGAAGAGGTGTTTAATAATACATATTCAGATGGAATAAGACTAGATCAGTAGAATTATTGTTTCAAGTAACAGTAAGAAGATTGGAGGGAGGCAAGTTCTTAAGTGTTTTATTCCGCAAGCTCCTGTACCGTATTTTTTCTGCCATGTTCGCCTTTCGTCAGTGAATGTGCACGTGATCATCTAAAAGATGCAGAAGGCGTAGCTGCCTATTCTTCACCTTATCCACGCTGGTCTAAGTGTTAAGGTCTTTCACTGCACTCGCATGTCAGTCGCCGAAAGAGAAGGAATTTGTGTGTTTCTTCTCGTTTCAGGGATTTTCTAAATGGTGGTCGGTGAGCAGAACATTTCTTGTTTTTACCCTCACCCGTGAGTCACATTTTGCGAGTCACGTGTAAGACTGGACACTTCGATCGAAATGAAAGCCGTTCACGTTCATACAGTGCTGTTATTAATTATAGACTCTGTTTTAAATGCAGCTTTAAACTGCGGCTGAAACTTGCAACTGCGCAGTTAAGGTTTTGTTCAAATAAACTTACCTCACTATCTTCATGGCCCTTTGGAAACAGAGCCATGATGCCACACTTAATTCTTATCGTTTCAGCGGCGTGATCATGAACTTTGCAAGCGGAGGTCGCCTCGCGGATGTTGGAGTTTCCGAGTCCGAGCCCTGCGCATGCGCTAAAGTGGTGGAGGGCCAACGTAATAGAAATCGGTCGCGTTCTTTGGGGCTTTCCAAATGAGCGATGTGCAACTCGGTTAATTGATCAATCTCCTAAATTATACATAATTAATCCATGCGTCGATTGTGGAGCATTTGCATTGACCCTCGTACGGGAAGTGGCACATAAAGTCAGGTACGGTAAGCGACATTCTCTTTTCAGTCGTTATTGAATCGTGAGGGCGTGATTGCCGACCCGGAAACTGTTCGGTGAAGAAATCTAAGGAGAGTCAGTTTTGACTCATTCCAGGTATATGTCATAATCAATTGAGTTCTCATAATAATACGCACTCCCTGCGCACGACTTGGTAACACTGAGGCAAGAGTGGCAGCAAGTCATTTCCCCCAACGCGAATCTATTTGACTTCTTTTGTTTCAAGTGATTGACGTAGAGTTGTGAGTAACTACCCTTATTCCAGGAGAGGGGTAGAGGTACGAAGACAAATGCATGAAATTTGTTCACCATTATCTGCACACGCATACGGCAGCAATATTTATTAAATGTTTAAGTGTTCGTCGCACAGTTAGAACAGCTAAAGGCTATCTATCCTCGAAACCGTTTGATTACATGGATACACAATTGGAGCAGGTACCATAAACAGTCATTTAAAAAAAACATGCATTAGGTAACTTGTTGATCCATGGATGTAGGTACAAAACAGTCAGTAGTGGCAGTTTATAGGCAACTCGGCTAACATTTGTATTCTGGTGATACTACAGTGTGATATCGTCGTGGAGGACCTTGGATACAGGTGTTATACTGGGTTCCAAGCGATAATAAACGCGTCGTGTTAAGTCCTTCGGATCGAAGACAGGATGAGGTGAAGAAATTCGTTAGATCAAGATGAATAAGAATAGCGGGAAAAGGCTACGGTTATAACCATGTGCTGATGTCAAAACCATAAGCTTAAGCCATCGACATGCGAAGAATTGCAGCCTTTT